GGAATCAGCTCTCCACGTCCGTATGAATTCTGCATGCACAGACGCTCACCCCCCAATACTGCACTGAGAGATCAGCTTGAACACACCACCCCCTAACCGAGATCTATACATATCCAAAGCATAATTACACAGGCCCTCGGTCTGGAAACCTAGCAACAGTCTCCAAGTCCTCGTTAGCCGGCTAATCAGACACCCAAACTCACACATCAGCGTAACGTGCTCCATTTTCAAAAAACAAAAGCCTCCGGCCCCTCTCTCCAAAGCTGCGGAAGGACAAGATAGACGAAAACAAACCTTGTTCGGCAGAGGAAGAGCAACCCATGGCATTTAATCCACCCGACTGTGCCTCTCCCTACAAAGCCGGACCAAACCAAAAATAACCGAGATTGCAAGAAAGAGGTGATCCCGCTCCGAAGCTTATCAGCTTGCAACATGCTTAACATCTGCATGGCTGTCTCGGACGCAAGCTCCCCAGCTCCCTGGCAGCCCAGCTTCGGGGGACCGCTATCTGACAGAATCCATCGTAAACGCTCTGGGGCAAGGGCTTTTAAAGCCTGCTGGGGTCATCTGCCCAGCCACAGATAAACACTGGACAGCCACAGCCAGGGATGAACTGGGTTTTCACAGCTACCCCTCAACCATCCCTTCTCTGCGCTGGCAAATGAAGGAACCCAATGGGACTGACATCAAATTGTTTTAAGAGGGAAAGGGGGACAGAAAGAAAAGTGCGGCACCCACGGCAGCATCACGTGGGCTCCCGGATCGTAATCATGAGAAGTTGTCGTCTGTCTGTTAAAGACGCCTGGAACCACAGCACTGTGCTGTTCCAGGTCTCTCTCCAGGTCCATTTCCAGGTGTTGCAGACTTCAGACACATCCACAATATTAACCACTGTGTTCATCAGCTTTTCCCCAAACCCACATCCCAGGGGGCTGACTTCCTGCTGATGCTTCCTCGCTTGGAAAACAAAGGCTCCCCCACTCAAGAGTGGAGGGAATGTCCTTTAAACTGATGGTTTTAAAAAGTCAAGACAAACCAACACCCAAACCCACTGCTGTTGAGTCGATTCTGACCCACAGCGCCCCTAGAGGAAAGAGTGGAACTGCCCACAGGGTCTCCAAGGCTGTCAATCTTTATGGAAGCCAAATGTCAGGTCTTTCTCCTGTGAAACCACTGGGTGGATCTGAACCACCAGCCTTTCGATTAGCAACCAACTGCTTAACCAGTGCACCACCAGGGCTACTTAAAATCCAACGGGAAGTGTCCTTGTAAGAGTGACTTGGAGGGAGGTCAGTCAGACGGAGGAGGAGGACTCAGAGACCAAACGGGACAGAGATGGCAGTGATGTGGCCACAAGCCAAGGAACACCACAGCCCAGAAGCGGGAGAGAGTGCCGAATGGTCTCCCCCTCCAAGCCTCCAGGGGAGCCCACACCCTGAGTGCAGACGTCCCACAGCAACCCGGAAAGACACTGCTGCGGTTCCTGCCAGGTCTGAGGTCAACACTTACGTCCTGAAGAAGCCTGAAGGGGCATGAGACGGGGCAGGATACCACCCAGTGGGCGTGCGACAGGGCAGGGCACCCAGGGGTCCGTGGGGAGCAGAGAGGGCGCTGGTGCTTGTTCTGCTTCCGGACCCCTGGAGGGACTGGAACGGCAACTCCAGAGGCCACGACTCAGTTAAGCACTTGACTACTGACTGAAAGGTCGGCGGTCCAAGTCCACCCAGAAGCACCCCCTGGAGCATCTGACACACGGGGTCGCCCTGAGTCGGCATGGACTTGAGAGGAACCGCGTTTCCAGGGGCCGTCCAGACCTGCTAAATAAGAGTCTCAGGGGCGGGGGGGGGGTTTTCGAGGCAGTATCACTACGGAAGTAAATTGCCCAACCTTCCTTCTGAGGGGGGGGGGGGTGCAGCGCAGGCATCTGCTGCACGCTGCCCCTGGTGATTCTGAGGCACCCCCAGATCCCACACTCTCTGCTGGGCCCTGGGGAGCCCTGGGGTTCACAAAGGTGAGTCAGAAGCCGAGGGGCTTCTCAGGCTCTCACGGGCTCCCTACAAGGCCACGGAAGACTCTAGAGCAGGTGGCGGGGGGAGACGGGGGCTGGGACGTGAGGGGAGGGGCGTAGGCCAGCCCTCCCCGCAGGGAGGACCTTGTTCCCTGGGGCCATCACTTCCCAAAAGGCCAGGCCTGCGAACCTCCTGAAGCCCCAGAAGAGCGTGTGCCCGGCAGGAGAGGGTGCTAGACCAGAAGTCATGGGAAGGCAGGGAGCTGTGGGCAGGGAGGCCGTGAAGTCCAGACACCTCAACAACAGACAGACAAAGCTTCGAGGCGAACAAAGACTCAAAGCTGCTGCCGTGGGGTCGATTCCAGCTCGTGGAGAGCCCTGTGACGGAGCAGGACTGGACCCCACAGGGGTTCACTGGCTGGTTTTCTGGAAGTCGACCTCCAGGCCATCTTCCAAGGTGCCTCTGGGTGTATGGACCTGAACCTCCAGCTTTTGGATTTGCAGCTGAATGTAACCACCGTCTGCACCCTCCAGGGAGAGCCTCGCCAATCAAAACACCAAACCCATTCCCGCTGAGTGGATCCCAAGTCAAGGCGATCTGTGTTTCAGAGCGGAACAGCTCCATGGGGCTTTGTTGTTGTAGGGTTTTGTCTGTTCGTTTTTTACAGTTTCTTTTCATTATGGTGAAAACATACAAAACAGATGCATCTCAGTAACCTCCCCACACGATTAAAGGACACGGATCCCCTACTTGAGGTGGTGCAGCCTTCCTCAGACCATTCCACCACCACTGGGGACCCACAGCTTCCACCCCTCACCAGGGCCGATTTTCACAGCATGTTTGCCTGTTGCCAGGCCTTTTGTCTTCTTTGCAGACGCAGAGGGAACCCTGCAGGGAGGGCAGGCTTTCTGCCCACCCTTGTCCTGTGCAGAGGAAGAAGCCCAAGAGGGAGGGACGGTGTCAGCGGTCATCACCCCCCACGATGATGACTGGAGTGAGAGCCAGCCTGCATGCTCCCTCGAGACCCCCGGGGCTCACAGAGGTCCAGAAGGAAAGACCTTAAGCCTCCACTCCAGGCAGCATGAAGGTGCATGTCCCACCCACATGGGTGCCCCCAGCCTGTAGTAGGAGAAGCCCTGTTGTTGTTGCTGTTATGTACCGGCAAGTCAGACCTGACTCATAGCAACCCCTACTTGGATTTCTGAGGCAACATCACTATGGAAGTAGATTGCCCAACCTTCCTTCTGAGGAGTGGCTGGTGGGTTTGAACTGCCAGCCTTCTGGTTAATAGTCAAGTGCCTTAGGCACTATGCCACCAGAGCCTCTGGAGATGCCCTGCAAGGCTTAAAAAGTAACCGATGGGAAGTGTGCACACCGCAACCAGGTGCTGCCTTTATGAGAAGAAACAAAAGCTCTGTGTGCTGAGAGGCTTGAACCACCAATGGGAGACGAATCACATATAAGCAAGGAAGCCACGTGCCACCAACATCCCCCAAAGGCTTCAAACCAACTCTGGTACCTCGAGGGACCTGGCAGGAGGGTCTCAAGGCTGCTAGCGTGGATCAGCCCTGGGGAGGGATGGGGGCGTCCATCTGTAAGGCAGAGGCTAGAAGCCCCAAGGATCTCCCAGCTCCTCTGAGGGGCCTGGGTTAACGAAAGTGCTTCACTCCCCCTGTGCCTCTTGGGCCTTGGTGGCCAGCACCTCTGTAACCATAAGCAGAGTTCTGCCATCACAGTCACTTGGATCCATTTGGTTGCCGATGATGACCTCTGCAGTTTGTGGGCCGGGACCTGTCTGCTCACTCAGGCCCAGCTGTCCTTCCCGAGCAGCCCTGGCTCCGTCTTCAGTATTTTTAGCCCTAAGCCGAAGCTCCTCTATTGTACTGGGTTCTCGCACGAGGAAGGAGGTGGGAAGGGCATCCCTGGCATTCTAAGCACTTGGATCATTTTCCAAACCGCTTAGCAGACACTAACTCATCAATCTCTCTAACGCACTCGGAGTGGTGATGCGCCTTGGTGAAGCCCTGGGTCTCCAAGCAATTAAGCAATTGGCCCTGGCTCCCCGGAGGGGCACGTGGCAGCATCAGGCAGCATCCGGGAGGCCTGGATGCTCAGTGAGGGGCACTTGCCGATGCCAGCAAAGCAGTGGGCTTTGCACCCTGTGCAGTTCTCCAAGGCAGGGTGGGGACCACGCACGACTGGGGAAAGGCGAGCATTCGACACGGAAAAGGCTCGGCAGCAAAACATGGTGTCACGCTCACCCCAACACCACACGTGGTTGGGGGACGCAGGGCAATGGTGGCAGATGCATCTGGCGACGTCTCAAGCACCCTGGGGCTCCCCTCCCACACCCCTGTGGATGGGATGCTGCCATCTTAGAAAGCTCACCGCTGCCGGTCCAATGGGACTGGTCCCCGCTGCTGGTCCTGTGTAAGCCTGCGGCAGGAGGACACAGGCCACCGGGCTCCTCTAAGACGAAGGACTGGGCCCAGCCCCCGGCGGGGCGGCGGGAGAGAGGAGGAGCCCCCGAGACCATCCTCCTGGTCGGCACAAGGGGGACTAGAAGGAAGGGTGACCATGAGCTCAGGGCAGAGGGAGTGGGGTCCGTATAATGGACTCTTTTGGCTTTCTACTTTCTCTCATCAAGTCACCACCTCTGTTCACAAGGAAGCATGTGTGCCACAGCGTGCTCCAGTGAGCGTGTCTGAAGGAATCCTGAATCACTGGATTCACCGACTACACAGTGATGCCCTGAACACAGCGCTTGGCGCCTAGCTAATCCCGCTGCATGAACCATAAGGGTCTCCGTAGCCTCCCCGATGCAGGCTAAAATGACCTAAGACCAGGGGCAGAAATTATGCCACAGCTACTCTCTCTGCTAGGTTTCACTCAAAGCAGGCTCAGAACCAATCTCATCACAAGGACTCAAAAAGCCAGTGGGGTCTCTAGGCCAAAGCGAAGGTGGCCTCAGCATGCCAGCAACCTGCTTACCAACGTCGGTCTCCTTGTGGTTCTTGATGTACTCCGCCAGTTCAAAGTTGCCCGCTATGATCGCCACCTGGAAGAACAGACATCAGATCCAGTAAGTATCAACCGCACAACTGAAGGTCCCTGGTTGGTGTCAACAATTAGACACTTGACTGCTCCTTGAGAGGTTGGTGGCTCAAACCCACCTGGTGATGTCCCTCCCTGGTTTGCAATGTCAGAGGAAGTGTCAGACCCCCTGTTAGTACCAGCCTGGGGCAGCCTGGCAGGACCCAGGGGCAGCCCGGAAGGACCCGGGGGCAGCCGGGCAGATGGCACGGGATGCTTCTGGGCAGCCCCGTTCTGCAGACGACAAGCAGGGCTGGCAGCACCGTGGGAGGTACTTCACCAGGCTCTTGCCGGCTCCCGGATGCCCAGCCAGACCAGGTTTCAGGTGGCGGACCCCAGAACAGAAACGGCAAGGATGGAGTCTGAGAGGTGGTCCTGAGTCATTGGGCCCTGATCTGCTGATGTTCATGGGCATGTGATAGGAGGGTCTGCTCAGTTAACCCAACAACTTCAAAGCTGCCCTTAGCTGACAGCTGGCTGAGGTCAGTCTTGGGCTTTCAGCCACACGATAAAAGGTAAAACTGCACGAGCGGGAGGAGGAGATCACATATGCAAACCTGAACTCCAGCATTTAAGAAACATGGTGGCTTTGCAGGGGTTGTTCCTCCACAGCACGGGGGTGGAGGTGAGTTAGATGGAATGAAAGTGATCGGCAGAGGGGTGCCATGGGGTGGCGTAGCCAGTACCACCAGGTGGGTGGCTTCCAACATGGGACATGTATTCTCTCAGTTCTGGGGGCCAGGAGTCTGAAATCAGGGTGTGGACGGGCCGCACTCCCTCTGAAGGTCTAGGGGACGGCCCTTCCTGGCCTCCTTCGGCTGCTGGGGGCTCCAGGTGTTCCCTGGCCCGTGGCAGCATCCCTGCAGTCTGCGGCATCATCACCTGCCGCTCCTCTCTGTGTCTTTGCTCTCTCTCCTCAGTGTGCCCCTCCTTGTCATGAAAGAGACAGAGAGAGGAGACAGAGGGCAGAGACACAGACAGGAGAGATGCACAGACCAGAGGCAGAGCGAGAGAGCTGGACAGAGCTCTGCTGAGGTCCACACTGCTTCACTGGCTAATTTTCAGAAGGAGATCGTCAGGCCTTTCCTCCCAGGCTGTCTCAGTTTGGAAGCCCCACTGAAACCTGTCCCCCATGGGGGAACCTGCTGGCATTTATCTGAAATGCTGGTGGCACAGCTGCCACCATCACAGGAACATGGCAGCCACTACAGTGTGACAGACGAACACACCAGGGTGGGGAGACTACTGACTACATGTCAACCACAGACCCCCCACGGTGAAGGTCACAGTTAAATACCCATCCCATGCACCTAAGCGCATACCCACACGTGGGCCCTCAGACCCACACCCAGATCACTGCTGAAAATCCCAGTGGATCATCAAGCGGCAGTCCGAGGCCTCTGCTGCTGCCAACACTACATGCCTTGCGTCTCAATACACGTGCAGCTGCAAGCCCCAGCCATGTTCCCAGCACCATCCCCCAGCCACTCGCAAAGGAGAGCAAGGCCAGCGTTTACAGGTGGTGATCGCCGATTGCTTCTCCCTTGGCTGTTTCCAGGCCAGGGAACAACTCTGGGACAGAAGCAGGCGCCTGCCTAGTCCCTCACCACAGCTCCCAGGGCCAGTACATCACTGATCCCCAGCCAGCGTTTCCTGGGAGGAGAAAGAGGGCACCGGCTGCCAGCCTGAGGGTACAAAGAGGCAGCATGCTGGGGTCTGTTGCAAAGGTTGCACATGTGCATATCAATCATAAGAGATGAAATAGGGAGACTTCCAGTAAGATGGAGGAATAGGCAGACAAGCGACACAGACCCTCCTCAACAAAGAAAAGAAAAACCAATGGACAGGGATACAGAAGATAATCCTGGAGCCCTGAGCTTTGAAAGGAATATACAGAAGTGAATCAGGCACCAACTAGTGGAAAAACCTGAACAAAAACAGTGAGTATAGAGACGGTTGGAGCTGCGGACTGTCAGCTACTCTGATGGGACCAACAGCCTGAATATTTCCAAGTGGTGTTGGGACCTGAGAATTGACCTAAAGATCAGCCCTGGTCACCAAGGGCTGCAGGGACAACTGAACTGGTGGCCTATGACTACAAAGGGAAACAGCAAGGGGAGAGACAACCTGAGCTGTTGACTTTCCACTGTCTGAATGGCACAGCCATTTTGATTTTTACATGTGGCAGCCATCTTGGATATTTAAAGTGACTGAGGGCACAGCCATTTTGAATGTTTACAAGTGGCAACCATTTTGGATTTTAAAGTGATAGCATTCTCATTCGGATTCCAGGGACCTAAGAATAGGCTCTGTTTGCCAAGGCTGGCAGGGACATATGAGAAGCTGACAACAGGAAAGGAGACAGGTGGTGAGTGTATAAGTACTATCAACTAGCGAAGAGAGGAGCACAGCACAGCACCCTGCTTGCATAGATAACATACAAACAAAACAAAGAATGAAAATTGTGGGCAAGTCACTCTAACATACAATCACCAATTAAATACAAACACAAAAACATCACAATGCCTCAGAGACAAGAGAGCACCACAGACCACACAAAGAAGCAAGATAAAGCAGGAGAAACAAGGAATCAGAATACAGACCCAAAACACACCCCTGAGGAAGATGCAGCACTGGAACTCCCTGATTAGGAATGGAAAAGAATTCTATTTAGGCATCTTCAATGAACTGAGAGACAGATTAATGAAAACACAGAGAAAACCCAAGAAAAATTTCTAAAGACAATACAAGAACAAAATGACAAAATAAATGACAAATTAGAAGTGATACAAAATCTACACACAGAAATCCAGAAAATTAACACTAAATTTTCAGAAATAGGTAAGACATTGAACAGACAAAGGAGAAGAACTGAATCAATGGAAGACAGAATTAGGGAGATTGAAGGCAAATACCTGAACACTTCTTTGGCAAGAGATAAATCAGAAAAAAGATCAAAACAAAATGAAGAAAGCCTAAGGTTCATGTGGGATACCATCAAAAAGAATAACCTATGTGTAATCAGAATTCCAGAACAGGAAGAGACAAATAAAACCAGAGAGAAAATTGTTGAAGATTTGCTGGAGGAGAACTTCCCTGATATGATGAAAGATGAGAATATATCCATTCACGAAGTTCAATGAACCCCAAATAGAATAGACCCCAAAAGAAAATCACCAAGATGTAGTCATCATCAAACTTACCAAAACCAAAGACAAAGAAAGAATCATGAGAGTAGCACAGGAAAAACGAAAAGTTACCTATAAGGGGTAACCAATAAGACTAAGCTCGGATTTCTCAACAGAAACCATGCAGGCAAGAAGACAATGGGATGGTATATATAAAACACTGAAAGAGAAAAATTTCCAACCAAGAATTATGTACCCAGCAAAACTGTCCCTCAAATATGATGGTGAAATTAGGACATTTCTAGATAAGCAGAAATTAAAGGAATTTGTTAAAACCAGACCAACCTTACAAGAGATGCTAAAGGGGTGCCCTTTGGACAGAGAAGCAACAACAACCAACAACAACTGACCATTAACACACATGATTAACACATGATGGTATAACCCAGAAACCAACTCAGCTATGGAAATATCCAAAGTAAATAAGCCTACAAGATTGTAAACAGCAAACCAGAGACATCAATTGACAAATGAGGACAACTACAAACCAAAAAGAGGGATAAAACTGTGTCACTACAGAACTTCTAGATGGTAGGGAAGTCAAGGGAACTATAAGACAGAACAGACTGTTCTAAACTTGGAAAGAAAACTATAAATCATAGGGTAACCGCAAATAAAATGATAAGCCTCCACATCAAAAAAGGGGACCAGAATAAATATTTCCAAATACTAAAACAACAGCAATAAAGGAAGTGATAACATGATTCATAAACAAAATGAGCTCAGCACAGAAAACTATATGGAACAAAGAAATCGAAAAATGAAAAAGCACATGACAAAATGACAGCAACAAATTCATATTAGCTGATAATTACATATATGGCAAGGGACTTATCTCTAAGTTTTATAGTGGAAGAGTGGATGACCAAACCATGGTACATACACACAATGGAATGCTATGCAGCACTAAAAAGTAATGTAGAGTCTGCAAAACACCGCATAATATGGATGAACCTGGAGGACATTGTGCTGAGTGACATAAGTCAATCACAGAAGGACAAATACAGTATTAGTTCATTGTTGTAGAGGGTCAAGGACAGGTTTATATATGGAGGGAAACTTTCTTTGTTGGTTGCCAGGGGTGGGAGGGGAGGGGAGGGAACATTGTAAAACACTTTAGTTTTGGGTATTTCACTGTACATAAATTATATTTAAACAAAATGAATTTTTAAAATTAAAACAAACAAACAAACAAGAGATGAAACAGGACAAAGGACAGATGTTCATTATGCAGCACATTCCTTTCCAAGTGTTTTATATGCATCCTACTGCTGTGGAGTTGATTCTGACCCACAGCACCCCTAGAGGACAGAGTGGAACTGCCCACAGGGTCTCCAAGGCTATCAATCTTCACAGAAGCAAAGCCCAAACCACACCCACTGC